TCTAAGGACATCCACATAAGATTTAAAAGGTCAATTTTATTATTTCACATCAATAACTAAAATTATTTTTTTTTTCTAATAATGAAATTACATTATTAATACAAAATAATATAAGAAAAATTATTAATTAAAATTATTCTATTATTAATGACAGTTAAAACTATATTATTTTCAAGGCATCCACATCAGCATTTAAAAATTTATTTTTATTCTTATATATTAAAATTATAAATTAAAAAAGTTTCATAATTCTAATATTATGGTTAAAAAAATATATTAATAAATAAAACAATCTCTATTAACCAAAAAAACCAACATGATGTTAAAATCTTCATTATCACTGTTTAAATCACAAATTTAATTTATTATCTATAAAAAAATATATGCTACTTATACAAGTTTAAGTTACTTGATTTTAAAGCTTTTCATGTAGAATTTTAAATAACTAATATTTATGATTTATATTCATCTAATTGTTTTTATGCAAAACATATCATCGAAATGAGAAAAATGAAAAATGATAAATTTGAGAAAAATGATAAACGAGAAACATGTCATGTGATTGATACTTGACACTATTGAAAAACGAAGCACTGAAAATAGAGAAAGAGGTTATGTCATTAAGACGAAGAAGACTACGATATCCAATGAAGATTTTGGAAATAACATGACATCTGATGGAGTTTTAATAACATGATTTTAACCACAAATGTAACAATTAGCTGACCAAACAGCATCCGAATACATTTGATAAACCTCAAAACAAGGAAGAAAGACCAATATCACGACATTTTTGACAAATCACTAAAAATAGAGAAAGAGATTACTTAGATGGTGTCCACATATGATTTTAAAAGACAATTTTATTGGTCCACATCAACATTCAAAATCAAGAAAGTTTACAAATTCTAATATTATTGCTGAATAAAGAAATTCTATAATTTTTTTTATTGGTTCACCTCAACATTGAAAATTAAAAAATTAAAAAATATTATTATTGTTTTTAAAAATTATTTAAGATAAATAAATTATATATAAAAAATTATTAATAATAAAAAACTAAAATAAAAAATTTTAAAATAGAAAATTTTAAATTTAAATTAGATGTGTACACACATATTTAGAGACTCTTACATTAGCATCCAAATTTTGTCATATAACTATTATAAATTTTAAGTTTTTTTTTTCTGTGTGTGCAACCATTTCAAATTAAAAAAAAAATAGAGTTAAGTTTCACTAAAAATGAGTCATTACTACGTAAAATAACCAACTTGACTAAACTATAAGTTTAGTTATTAGCTAATTTAAAAAGAATATAATAAAAAGAGATATAATCAAAGCCAATACAAGCTGATTTAATATTAAAAAAGAAACCATAAAATCTTCAAAGCTTGGCCACTAAATTTGAGAAATGATAAATTCCAAGCAATCCAAGAAACATGTCAAGTAATTGATACTCGACATTTTTGAAAAACGAAGCACTGAAAATAGAGAAAAATATTCTATCATTAAGATGAAGGAGATTGGTGTATCTGAGGAAATTTTTGAAATAATATGGCATATGATGGGTTTTAAAAACGCAACTTGAACCACAAAGGTAACAGTTAGCTGATCAAGCAGCATCGGAATACATTTCGTAAGCCTCAAAACAAGGAGGAGATATCAAAATCACTTGCCGCAATGTCTCTTGTGTGAGATCTTCCAGCTTTGATTTCTAAATATATTACTAATAAAAGTTAAACCTATATGCCTCTAAGAATGTCCACATATGATTTAAAAATTCAATTCTATTGGTCCACATCAATATCTAAAATTAAGTAAATCTCCAAAATTAAAATTATATTGTTAACAAAAAATATATTTATTAAAAAATAAAAGTTGAAGCTATATGCCTTTAAGGACATCCACATATGATTTAAAGGGTCAATTTTATTAGTCTACATCAATAACTAAAATTAAAAATGTCTAAATTATAAAATTACATTGTTAATACAAAACTATAAATGAAAAATTATTAATTAATATTATTCTATTATTAATAACAATTAAAGCTATATTATTTTCACGGCATCCAGATCAGCATTTAAAAATTTAATTTTATTTGTATATATCAAAACAGTAAATTAAAAAAAGTTTCTTAATTCTAATATTATGGTTAAGAAAATAAATTAAAAATAAAGAAATCTCTATTAACAAAAAAAAAACAACATGATATTAAAATCTTCATTATAATTGTTTAAATTAGAAATTTAATTTATTATCTATAAAAAATATATGCTTCTTATACAAGTTTAAATTACTTGATTTCAAAGCTTTTCACAAAGAATTTTAAATAACTAATTATTATGATTTATATTCATCTAAATTTTTCACCTATGAAAAACATATTTCTACATAATCTCATGTAATATATTATGTAAAAATGATCGAAAAAATTATATTTTGTATATTCGATTTGGAATTACTACAGATTAATGTAGAAGTTCTTAGTTTTGAGTTGTTCAATTTGTTATTTTATTTTTTAAAATTTGTATGTATTAAAATTATACTGGTTTTTGCCTACTTAATTATAATTAGAAGAAGTAAGAATGCATGTGATGAAACTGATTATAATCATACAAAAATTAATAAAATAAATAAATAAGATATATCCATTTAAAAAATATATATAACAAGAAGAAAAGTGAACATGATGAAAAAATATTTCATTCTTATTAGAAGAGATAATGTATAATCATTGAAAAATTATTTAAAATTTAAAAAAACCAATTAACAAAAATATATTTACTTCACAAATTTTGTGTGATTTTATTTATTTTATACTCAAATATTGTTTTAGCTTCAAATTTAAAGTTGTTGTTAATCTCAAAGCAAATTTTTTATTTATTAGTTATATTTTAAATAAATATATTAAAATAAAAATTTGTATTGGTTAAACAAGAGAAGAAAAAGATTAAATTTTAAAATGTTAAATTATATAGATTCAAAACAAAACCGTTAAAACCTCATTTACATAAAAAATATTAGATGAACACTATTATATTTTTAATATATTATTAAAACACTAAAATATAAAATTTATATCTCTATAAATATAATTGATTGCATATAATTTTTATCTCTAGAGCTTTATTGCATTAAGTCAGTGATAAGCTTTAGAGCTTTATTGCATTAAGTCAGTGATCAGTGATGTGATTTGGAATTCATGGGTTTCCATCAAGAGGTGATTAGTTTAAAGGGATCCTCCAAACCAACTTAGTAATTTGGGGAAAGAAATTGAAACTATTATCCGTCATGATATTGGTACCTGAACTGGCAAGAGGCTAGACTGCTTGTTAAACCGACAACATGTTCAGCGACCTCAGCCTCGTCTACACAGTGTCTGGAATGTACTCTAACATATTGAGTAGTTAATTTTGCAAGTAACTGTATAATAAACATCAAAATACCACAAGAGTAAGTACGTTTAAGAAGTCAAACAAAAGAGCAACAAAGATGTTTTTTTTTTTCAAATAACATGCTCATAAGGTACTACAGTATCTCATCGATATGAGGCCGTCTCCAGTTTCCCGGTTTCTTGTACTCTTCCTTTTCCCTAAAATCGGTTTTTCAGTTTCAGGATGGAACACTGAATCAATACAAATTTGCTTTATCAAACTTCCCTTTTCTTTACGTAGGACATTAACTTATTGGTGAGGCCGCACACCGTATAAGATGGGTATTGGTCCTGAACTCTTGAGATGTTTTCTAGAAGCCTTTCATTAGCAACAAGATTACAAAACTCTTCAGCCTCATACACAAGTAAGACATAAGGAATCTTAGGCCCTTGGGGAAAAGCCTGCATCAAAGTAAAGAAGATGCAAATTACAGTAAAATAAGACACTAGTGATGATTCGTATAGTTTTAATCTAGTAATGATCTTCCCAAGGCCCTTCAACTCATAGCAAAAGGGATTCATTTCTAATATTTCATAATATTTAACTCAGTTCAATGCCAGGTGTTATGAAGTAATACTTTATCGATCTCTATCTAATAAACAATTATCTCATTCTGAAAGATGGAAGTTGAAAAAAACTTTTGAAGGAAACGTATCAGTTGAAAATCCAAAGCGACTGAAAAAAACTTTTTGAAGGAAACGTATTACTTATTGTCACTTTCAACTTCAACTTCATCTTCATTCTTTGCCATGTGGCCGGTGGCCCATAAAAAAACACTAAGCTCTTGTTCTTTTTTTTTTTGGTGAAGTCCTTATTGTCACTTTCAAACCATACGTGTCTGCACTCTTGAGCCCAAACAAATTTTAGTACATCAAGAAATCCACATGCTTCTGCTTGTATTGGTGAGAACTGAGAACTGAGAACTGATTTCAATTTTTCATTTTAACTAATGTTATTGTTGGGACTTTCACAAACGGATGTTCTATTGGTCTTAAAAACTAGCTTTTAGTATTTGTCAATTTTCCTTTTTAATCGTTTGGAAAAATTATCCATTACAAACTATGAGAATGATTTTTACGAACGACAATTCTACCTGTTTATAAAGATCTACGATTAACGGTTTTGCCTGACACCATTGTGATAGAGCCTTTAACCTTGATATGATAGATCATGATGAAAGCCCTCCTTGTACCAAAAATTTCAGAGTAGACTCATTTTTCTATTTTACCTTTATCATTTTAATTATTTTAAAGAGAAAAAATAAGTAGAAAAATTAATAAAAATAAGGATCGAGTTGTAATTCTAAATAATTAGACCATTATTATCGCAGGATTTAGGATGGTTTTTTAGTCCAAAAAAAAAAAAAATTATTGATTAAAGCTCAAATTTATTAGGAAACGATTCTTATTTGGGACCATCAAGGATCGATTCTTATAGAACGCCTGTCAGTTACAGATTGGCTTGACAATCTCTTGGACAAAAAATTTTAGTCTCGACCATTTTTGGTCGACCAAATTTCTGCTGTCTCGACCATTTTTCTCTAATTTCTCGTTCTCTCCGCCGACCAAATCATCACCGCCACGATTCATCCTTATCTCCCACGCTATCTCCTGCACGATGCCCGCCTCCTCCGGGTCGATTCTTCTCCTTTCGAAATCATCGTATCTCCGTGACCAAATCATCATTCTTCTCCTTTTGATAATCAAGCATTGAATTTGTCGAAATTTTGATTTATTGATTATATCGAAGTATACGCAGCTTTCTAAATGTGTTGGCGTTCTCGAAGATTTTGAAGAAGTATGATAAGGTAGGATTTGGTTTGAACAGAAACTTTTTGATTTTAGAGTTTTGAAAGAGTATGTTCTCACGACTGAAAGGTGTTCAACAAAATTACATTCACAGATAACTTGGAGAAAATCTTCCAAGCCTTACATAAAAATGGTTGATAGTTCGTACCTCGGAAGCTCTGATGATGTGAGCTTGACTAGTTCTTTCTTAAATTCGATCTAAATTAGATAATTACCTTCATTGATTATTACTCTGTTTTGATCCTTGCATTGATCTTCTCTTGCTTCTTTTATGTCACAGCTTATGAAACTGATACAGCGTGTTTAAGCTACATTCATAAAGCATTTCGCAAATGGTAACAGAAGAAAAGGAATGAACATCTTGAGATTACATCTTGGAATCTTTCAAAAGGAAAGCTACAAAGATTACATGATCACTATGTTCCCTCTTTATAGGTAAAACTTACTTTGCTAATTTGAGGATTTTAATGTGAAACGTGATTCTTAGACTTTTTTATTCTTTGTCGTTGTTCTTGCAGCTTATTTGGGTTCAAGCAAGGAACTGAACTCGGTTACAGACAAGTTCTTTTTATGGGATTCAGTATTGGAGCGTTTGCGTTGCTTTGTGTTCTTGGAAACCTTGATATGCAAGTAGACCCCAAAACTAAAAATTACCAAGCTTTAACCGAACTTCTTCCTCTTTTCATCATGTCGTAAGTGCATAAATCCAAAATTGGTTTCCTTTTTAACTACCAATGGACCATTAAAAGCATGAGGTTTCTAAATAAGAGTTCTTAACCCATAATTAATAATAAAAAATTGTTAAGAAACCCATTAAGGGTTACAGGGATAATGATGCTCTTAGAATCATAGGGAAGTAAAATTTTATTCAGTCGGATAGTTTACATTATTGCCATCACACGTTCACGGTTCACAAGAACATGGAACAATTCTCCAAGAGACCCACATTCAATTATTGATTCATAGGATCTAAGAGAGACTCATACTGATCTGATCAGACCCGACCGGACCGACACCCTCACTAAGTGAAACCGGACAATTGTTCCGTACGGCAGTGAGGTTATATGGCGGAAAATCGGTCGAAAGCCATTGCGATACATTGAAGTATTGATACATGGAATCAGCGTGAACTATGGAAGTCGTGAACTCCACGTACTCAACATACCAGATAGGCTTGTGGCCGGAGTTATCAGAAGTCAGAGATAAAAAATAAAAGCCAAAACAAAACTGGATGGGAAAGCAGCAGTCGCACATTGAAAAGAGGACCACCCCATTTTACCGTATCTCCAAAGAACTAGAGTTCTCATCATTGTTGACACAATCATCATCTCGAAGCTAGCCTTAAAACCTCAAGAATGAGATACCTACAACTTCTCCAAAAACAATCAGCATTTCCAAATCTGTAATGGACTAACTAGCAACCATCCTTTGATAAAATATCTGTCCTTTCATTTCGCTCTCTATAAACATGACCCAAAGAGCAAGAGGGTGCTTGGTCACCCAGTGACGAATATTATATAAAATATTATCAATATCGAGATTTTCTTCTCTTCGATTAACCATCATAACTAACTCCTTACTGTCACTTTCAAACCATCCGTATCTGCACCCTTGAGCCCAAACAAATTTTAGTACATCAAGAAATTCACATGCTTATGCTTGTATTGGTGAGAACTGACTTCAATTTTTCATTTTAACTAATGTTATTGTTGGGACTTTTACAAAAGGATGTTTTACTTGTCTTAAAAACTGGATTTTCTGCCATTTAAGAGTATTGTCATTTATTCTATTTTACCTTTATCATTTTAATTATTTCAAAGAGAAAATGTAAGTAGAAAAATTAATAAAAATAAGGATCGAGTTGTAATTCCAATTAGAATATCATAGGGAGTAAAATTTTATTCGATTGGATAGTTTACATTATTGCCATCACACACGTTCACAGTTCACAAAAACATAGAACAATTCTCCAAGAGACCCACCTTCAATTATTGATTCATACGATCTAAGAGAGATTCATACTGATCTGATCAGATCCGACCGGACCGACACCCTCACTAAGTGAAACCGGACAATTTTTCCGTACGGCAGTGAGGTTATACGGCGGAAAATCGGTCGAAAGCCATTGCGACACATTGAAGTATTGATACGTGGAATCAGCGCGAACTTTGGAAGTCGTGAACTCCACGTACTCAACATACCAGGCGGGCTTGTGGCCGGAGTTATCAGAGGTCAGAGACAACGAACATACTGGGCTTGGAAGACACCTCTCCTTACCACTGAAAATGTCCACGTTACCGTTCTCGAAGTAGTCGTAACCTTGTCCCATTAACCCACCCCATGTCACTAGGTTTTTTATCACGATCTCTTGTCCGGCTTTGTCGGAGATATTAGCGCTTATGATCGAATCTGTGCCGGCACCATCCAAGGAACCGGTTTTGAGGTAGAATGTGTAGACGCAATCTACTTCACGATCCTGCAAAATGATCAAGAAGTTTATAGCCTAATCTCTTAAACGTACGACTAGTGTTTTTTCTTTTTTCCCTAACAAGCATAAACTAGTGTCGCTGTGTAAAACAATCATAACCTAAGGGAACTTACGGCAAATGCAACGACAGAGACAGCGGCGATGAGGAGGAGAGAGAGGAGGAGAACGTCACAGCGAGCCATAGTTGGTGATATGAATGTGTAAGACATGGAGATATTTGATCTGTCCAGGGTAACTATTAATAGAGTTTAAGACTTAAGATTTCATTATATGAGTAGCGGTAGCGTATGAAGTTGACGTGGAATTTTCTTGTCCGTTGTGAACTTGTGATGAGTGAAGAGTAACATGCTCAATCATGTCATGTAGGTTACATGATGTAACTATAGTTTAATTTTTTAACTCCATGATGTAACTACATATCATGTATGTTACACTTACATGAGGTAACTATATTTTTCAACTCCATGATGTATATCATGTAGTTGGAGAACCGTATGAAGTTAACGTGGCAACTTCTTGTTCGTTGTGAATTGTGCTGAGTGAAGAGTAACATGCTTAATCAAATCACGTAAATATTTGTTTTTACCTCGACGCATTTCGTATACTAGTGCAATAATGAAAACTAATCAGTCCAATTAAGTATATGATGTCGACAAAAGTAGAATGATATAAAAGAGCTGTTTTTTCTATCCTCTTTTGTTTAAAGTACTATATACTAGTGCAATAGTGAAGTTTGGTATTGCTTTGTTTTATTCTCTATAATATGAAATAAAACGTGGTGTATTTCTACTGAAAATGTCACCTTTCGTTGTAGTTGTAACCTGGCCCCATTTTTTGTTTCGTTGTAATGAGTGAAGAATATTTTCAAGGATCCAATGAGAACGTGATTAACTCGGCGGACTGATTACAAAACAAATATGGTTTGTTTCTATATATTTTATAGGCATGAGGTGTCAGTTTACGCTCCAACATATGGAATTTTTTTTTTGTTACTCACAAATTTTATTCGATCGAATCATTTTTCCTTATTGCTATCATGTTTACTATACTACAAAGTGAAAGAATAATTCGCTTTCATGATCACTATAATTTAAAGTCGTCAAAGAATAATTTTCGAAGACAAACACAAACGCATTCATTACCTTCGCATATGAATTTTCGTCCTCTTATCTTGGAGCTGTAAGAAACCATGATTTTTACGATATAATAAAACTGAATACTAAAAAAAATATTGATATATAGAAAACAGAATTAATAATGATTATTTCGATAATAATAATAATAATTTTCAAAAAATATAAATGGACAACTGCTTTTTTTTACAGCCTAAACACCTAAAACGGTTCAGTAATCCAAACCAGAAATACCAAATTTACATACATAACATCTTGACGTTGGACGCAAGTACTTCGTACAAGGTTGTCCGCTTTCATATTTTTCGTATGTGAAACAAAATGAAAGAGTGTAAAAAGTAAACTTTTCCTTATTCTTCATGTATTCCTTTAAATGTAAAGCAAAAACTTACCATTCATTTGGTTTAGATATTACTTTCACCAACTTAGAACAGTCGGTTGCAAATATTACTATCATCTAATTGTTATCAAACATACAATGCATGACCTAGATTAGAATCTCGAGTTCTGCATTTAAAGGGGTTAGATTGCGTTGTAAATTTCTTACTCCCATTATCATTATCGTGTAGAGACGCTTGAGATCTTGTCACCCTAAGCCCAAAAATGGACTAACAATTTGTTTAGAGACGCTCGAGATCTTGTCTCTTAATTCTTTAATTGCTTTTGTGTTTGATACAATCAAAATTCAGAATTTTAGGAATCCATGAGCCACACGATTTTTTTTTTTGGTATGCAACATTTAACAACAGAACTAAAGAATCCAACAAAGTATTGTACTCACAGACTAAAACTACAGAAAAAAAAAGAATGATGATCAAATAGAATTATGATCAAATAGATATAAGAGAATCCATAATCAAATTTCATAAAAATAAGAAGATTCATAAATATTCTCCAAATTTGTTAAAAGTGATGAAGAGATCTTCTCCCAAGAATACAATTGAAAGTTATAAAGTTATTTACACAAACTAAAATTGAAAGATTTATAGGTCTTAGATTGTTCTTGGTCGAAACAGAAAAAAAAAACCTAGAAAAAATTATGGAACATCTATATATATTTCAAACCGGTCTAAAGAATGTGTTTTAGACCTGGCTCCTTGTGTGCGAATGGCAGCTAGGGCACATGTAAGTGATCTAGACCCAACTTCATGACCGATCCAGTGTTCTTCAAAGTTCATGCTAAATTCTTCATCTGTTTATGCTCTAGTTTCTATATATTATTATTGATTTTTTTATAATAAGAGATATTCTGAACTTTATTATCCGATTAATGTTTTAAGATGAGTAATATCTTCGACTAATTCATTTTTCAGATTTTCAAACAGGCCTAAAATGTTTAGAGACGCTCGAGATCTTGTCTCTTAATTCTTTAATTGCATTTGTTGTGTTTGATACAATCAAAATTCAGAATTTTAGGAATCCATGAGCCACACGATTTTTTTTTTTGGTATGCAACATTTAACAACAAAACTAAAGAATCCAACAAAGTATTGTACTCACAGACTAAAAGTACAGAAAGAGAAAAAAAAGAATCATGATCAAATAGATATGAGAGAATCCATAATCAAATTCCATAAATAAATAAGATGGTTCATAAATATTCTCCAAATTTGTTAAAAGTGATGAAGAGATCTTCTCCCAAGAATACAATTGAAAGTGATAGAGTTATTTATACAAACTAAAATTGAAAGTGATAGAGTTATTAATACAAACTAAAAAATAATTAAAAATAGGTATTTATAGGTCTTAAATTGTTTTTGGTCGAAACAGAAAAAAAAAACCTAGAAAAAATTATGGAACATATGTATATATTTCAAACCGGTCTAAAGAATGTGTTTTAGACCTGGCTCCTTGTGTGCGAATGGCAGCTAGGGCACATATAAGTGATCTAGACCCGACTTCATGACCGATCCAGTGTTCTTCAGTGTTCATGCTAAATTCTTCATCTGTTTTTTAATTTCTATATATTATTATCGATTTTTTTATAATAAGATATAGTCTGAACTTTATTATCCGATTAATCTTTTAAGATGAGTGATATCTTCGACTAATTCATTTTTCAGATTTTCAACAGGCCTAAAATGTGGTACCATCTTCGACTGATCTAATGGAAGTGGTATCATTTATTTGTTTATGCTCTAGCTAAGTGTATCATTTTTTTCTTATTTTACCAAAAAAATGGGAGAGACTCTCAAAACTTCAAAAGAGTCAAAACGAAATGAAAACACTTGAAACCAACTTATGCAATAGTTAAAGTAAGCATAGACACCATCTACGTCATTGTCTTGCACCAAGAAAATAAATTATTTGTTTGAACGGGAGAGAATTAGTGGACTTCGAACCCTAATGGTTTGAATTAGTGGTCGTATCCTGTCATTAATTACATAGATTCAAACCTAGTAAAATGTATGTCGAGTTGTAGACCAAAACAAATAGGGACACTATTTGTCCTCCTATATATTTAGTTTAGCATAGAATTAGAGAATCGAAAAAGTACCTCATTGATATAATAATAATAGTATATTTTAGTATAGTTTAACTATATACTTAAGTTTTAAGCTAAAAAAAATTGAGTCATTCATAAGACAACAATTTTATTTCGATCGGATCGTTTACATTATTTTCAAGAGGCCAAGACAAGACACACACATTCTTTCATTGATTCATTCGATCTTATAGGGAGTTTTACGGACCTAAGACCCGGCCCGACCGACACTCTCCCTCAGCGAAACCGGGCAGTTATTGCGTACTGCTTCTAGAGACGTATCGGACTCAAGCCACTGCTCCACATTGAAGTATTGACGTGCGCTGTTAGCGTGAAATCCGACGGTCGTGAGCTGCACATAGTTTACATACCAGGCATGGAATAGGCCGCTGCCGTCAGATCTCAGAGTCAATGAACATATTGGGCTCGGAAGACACTTCTCAGTAGCACTAAAAATGTCCACATTGCCCCTCTCGTAGTAGTCGTAACCTGGTCCCATTAACCCTCCCCATGCTTCTAGGTTTCTTATTACGATCTTCTGTCCGGTTTTGTCGGAGATTATAGCGGTTATGATCGAATCTGTGCCGGCGCCGTTTATCGATCCTGTTTCGATGAAGAATGTGTAGACGCAGTCTGGTTCTTGATCCTGCGATATTAATTAAGAAGTTTATAACCTAATTGCTTCGACGACAAGTGTTTTTATTTTCCTAACAAGTATAAACTAGTGTCGAGGTAGAATGTGTAGACGCAATCTACTTCACGATCCTGCGAAATGATCAAAAAGTTTATAGCCTAATCTTTTAAACGTACGACTAGTGTTTTTTTTCTATTTCCCTAACAAGCATAAACTAGTGTCGCTGTGCAAAACAATCATAACCTACCTAAGGGTGATGCGGAACTTACGGCAAATGCAACGACAGAGACAGCGGCGATGAGGAAGAGAGAGAGGAGGAGAACGTCACAGCGAGCCATAGTTGGTGATATGAATGTGTAAGAAATGGAGATATTTGATCTGTCCAGGGTAACTATTAATAGATTTTAAGATTTGAGATTTCATTATATGAGTAGCGGTAGCGTATGAAGTTGACGTGGAATTTTCTTGTCCGTTGTGAACTTGTGATGAGTGAAGAGTAACATGCTCAATCATGTCATGTAGGTTACCTGATGTAACTATAGTTTAATTTTTTAACTCCATGATGTGACTACATATCATGTATGTTACACTTACATGAGGTAACTATATTTTTCAACTCCATGATGTATATCATGTAGTTGGAGAACCGTATGAAGTTAACGTGGCAACTTCTGGTTAGTTGTGAATTGTGCTGAGTGAAGACTAACATGCTTAATCAAATCACGTAAATATTTGTTTTTACCTCGACGCATTTCGTACATATTATGATACTAGTGCAATAATGAAAACTAATCAGTCCAATTAAGTATATGATGTCGACAAAAGTAGAATGATATAAAAGAACTGTTTTTTCTATCCTTTTTTCTTTAAAGTACTATATACTAGTGCAATAGTGAAGTTTGGTATTGCTTTGTTTTATTCTCTATAATATGAAATAAAACGTGGTGTATTTCCACTGAAAATGTCACCTTTCGTTGTAACCTGGCCCCATTTTTTGTTTCGTTGTGATGAGTAAAGAATATTTTGAAGGATCCTTAAGAGCACGTGATTAACTCGGCGGACTGATTACAACACAAATATGGTTTGTTTGTATATATTTTATAGGCATGAGGTGTCAGTTTACGCTCTATGGAATTCTTTTTTAATTTTTTTTTTTTGTAACTTCGATCGAATCATTTTTACTTATTGCTATCATGTTCACTGTACTACAGAGTCAAAGAATAATTCTCCAAGACAAACACAAACGCATTAATTCATTACCTTCGCATATGAATTTTCGTCATCTTATCACATGCTTTTTACGATATAATAAAACTGAATACTAAAAAAAAGTGTTGATATATAGAAAACATAATTAATAATAACCATCAATAATAATCTAATATATAATAGTTAAAGAGAATTTTCCAGGAGTTGACACACCATTAGTGAAGGTAAGTAGAATAACTTCCTCAGCAGATACTATTCTATACTATTTGATATAGCAGATAAAAGAATTTTGATGACTGCGTAAACCTGAACATATTGTACTCAGGCTACAGATGAGTATGGACGTATTTTATCATTTTACTCAATGCCCGAGTACAAGAAATGGAAAGAACAAGACCGCAATGATAATCTAACCGGATGGACTATAAAATACGACAAGGTTTGATTTCTGTTGTAACCACTTTTTGATAGTGCCCATGTTTTCTACATTACTAATTTGTCCTTGTATCTTTTTCCAGGGTTTGGGTACAAATACTTGGGAGGACGGAAGATCTTATTTTCTTAATATTAATGAACATCTTCAGTTTTTTGTTTGCGACGAGGAACTTGATGAAAATAAAGCTTTTGAAACTGCATTCGGTACAAAAATCAGACCTCGACAATCTTGGATGAAAATTTATGTGGTATGAAGGATTTGATTTATTTTTAAATATATGTTCTCTTTACTATTTTATTTATGCTGGTTTTGACTTTTGATATTCCTTATTTTGGTCAACTGCTTATCTTGATCCATTGCAACCGCAAATCACGTGCACCGAATTCATCAACAAGGGGCTGATCTTGTATTCCGTGGCGAGTCTTCAAATGTCAATTCCGTCATTGGTTGATGGGTTCTAACCAAGTTCAAGAATGATAATTTTTTGCGCGTTCAAGAGAAATCTAGTCACCGAGACCAACGTTGTAGCAAAGCACTCACCATATTTTTACAGTGAACATAATCTAGCAAATACAATCATTGGCATGGCGTATGATTACGTTGGTAGTAACAACATCAATCTACTTGAACCAATTAGTCAATTTGGTATCCGTGCTATGGAAAGTATCAGTGGCAGACCCATAAATTATTTTTGTCGGAGTCATAAAAACGATTGATGAAACCAAAACTAGCCCAGCTTGGAAAATCAAAAAGAAAAAAAAGAATATTCTCTCTGGAGGGTGATTTGAATAGCGATCTAGGGTTTTAGATTCCGCCGCACGATAGTATCCCTGCCGCCGGCAACGTCATGTCGGAAGAGAAGGAGGCCGCTCCTCTATCGACTACTCAGTCATCTGAAGTTTCTCTCTCGCAAGTTTCACAGCCAACCGAGGTTCAAAAGAAGGGACATGGGCAAGTGTGGTGTCGAATAAAAAGAGTCTGTCACAACATGATTTTCAAGTCTTAGAAGTCGAAGGTTCAGTAAAGGTCATTGTCCCAGCGGAGGTGCAAGAAGGAACACCACTATGGGACGATCTGCTTGTCGGAAGTTTTTTATCAGTAGCACAGCACGTTGCAAAGATTCACGTAATTGTAAACAAAATCTGGCCACTGGGGGATAAAACAATCAAGATCGACGTGTATGAGATGTCACCAAAGTCGGTAAAATTCAGGATAAGGGATGCAGCAGTTAGAGCAAGAGTTTTAAGGAGAGGCATGTGGAATATTGCAGACATACCGATGATGGTATCTAAGTGGTATCCGATCATTGAAGATACACAACCAGAGTTGAAACTATTCCTATGTGGGTTACCATAAAAAATGTCTCTCATTCTATGTTTTTCGTGGGAGGGACTGGGTTTTCTAGCGAGTGCAGTTGGAGCTCCCAAAAGACTGCACCCAGACACAGAGTTATGCAAGAGTTTTGAGGAAGCTGACATGTCTAAGGAATTGCCTAAGCAACACCAATTTCAGCTAAAGGAAAACGTGGACGCTGTAGTGGACTTCTCTTATCCTTGGCTTCCACCATGATGTTCAGCTTGTGAAAAATGGGGTCACTTAGTGGAATTATGTAAAACAAACATCAGTCCAAAGAAAATCATGCAGCGTAAAGAGGCAGAGGTGAATCAGGACAATGTGAAAACTGCAGAGGGGTCTGCAATAAGAGTAGAGAAATCAGTAACTAATGCAGAAGTGATACGGCAAACTGCAGAGGATGGAAAACGTACCAAGGAAGCAGAGAAAACCGTAGCAAAGAATTCAGATACATAAAATCTACAAAAACCAGTGCAGACTGATAAAACTGTCGCTAGTGGAATCAAAGAAAGGGTAAAGGACGTTGGAAAAGACAAAAATAACTGGCAAGAGGTCTCTCCACACAAGATGGGCAGATCATCGGAGCCAAAAACTGGGTCAGAAACAGAGATTTTTTCTTCTCCATCTCGCTATGCAATTCTAAGTCTAGCGAATGAGGGAGCCCAAGAGTCAGAAAAGCAGACTGAGGAGAATGCTGTGATTGACGAGATAGAGGAGATAGAGGAGGGAGAATGTCAGAAAGAACCATTCACTGAATCTGATCCAGTGGCATCTCAAAACATTGGAACAAGGATGAGGACCTCTCTCCCTCGAGCCTCTAAAACCTCTCACAGGTACTTAAGGGAACAAACCATCTCAATCCCAAAGAAAAACCCCAAAAAGAATTAGATGCCGGGTTTCTTTTGGAATGTGCACGGATTAAACAAACCTTCTAAACATTCCATTATCAGACAGTGGATAGATTCAGCTTCGATGCAATTTGGTTGTCTGCTGCTTGAGACGAGAGTCAAGGAAAGTAAGTCCATACAGATTGCATTTTTGGTTTTTCGAGACTGGTCTCTTATGACAAATTACGAGCATCATCGGCTTGGCCGGATTTGGGTGGTATGGAAAGACAGGGTGAGGTTAACCCCTATTTTTAAAAATTCTCAGATGATTACCTGTTCTATTCTACTGGATGGGAAAGACCATGAATTCTTCTGTAATTTTGTTTATGCTTCAAATTTTGTGGAGGAAAGGAAGCTTCTTTGGGATGATCTGCAAAATCATTATAACTCACCAATGTTTAGAAATACATCTTGGCTGATTTGTGGTGATTTTAATGAGATCATAGATGGAGAAGAACATTCAAATTACTCAGTTTCCCCGACGATTCCAGTGGAAATGAAGGATTTTCAAGACACAGTGAGAGACTGCTCTGTTTTTGATTTGGGTTACCATGACCCTCTCTTTACGTGGGCAAATAAGAGAAGCAAAGGACTTGTATGCAAGAAGCTTGATAGAGATTTGGTAAATAATGCCTGGAACATCGAATTTCCGGAATCTTACTGCACGTTCGAAGCCGGAGGTTGCTCAGACCATCTCAGGGAAAAGATTTTGCTTGATCCAGAAACTAAAAAGGCAGAAAACCATTCAAATTCGCGAATGTTTTATCTACTCTCCCACAGTTCTTAACGGTGGTTGGTGGATTCTGGGAAACTACTACTCCATTATATGTCTCCACATCGGCAATGCATCGGTTTTCTAAGAAGTTAAAAGCTCTAAAACCCCTTCTGCGAGCTCTAGGTAAGGAAAAATTGGGAGATTTACCGAAACGGACTCGCGAGGCATATGATGATCTGTGTATCAAGCAGACTCAAACTCTGCAAAATCCAGATCCAGAAACTATGGAAGAGGAGAATCAGGCGTATGAAAAGTGGGATTTTCTAGCTGGGTTAGAGGAAAGTTTTCGGAAACAGCAATCTAAGTTGCACTGGTTGAATGTGGGAGATGGAAACACTAAAGCTTTTCCCCGAGCTGCCCAAGTTCGGAAAATGCAGAATACCATTCGTGAAATCAGAAAGCCAGATGGAGAAACAGTCACAGACGGAGATGAGATCAAACAGGAAGCAGAAAGGTTTTTTAAGGACTTTCTCTCACATGAGCCCGATGATTTTCATGGAATGGAGACAGAGGAGATTGGGAATTTGCTGGATTTCCGGTGTGATGAAGAGGATACCAGTTTGCTTGAAAGGGAAGTAACAGCTGAGGAGATTAAAAAGACGTTGTTTTCAATGCCGACTGAAAAATCCCCTGGTCCCGACGGTTTCACCAGTGAGTTTTTCAAAGCGGCCTGGTCAATTGTAGGAGATGGTTTTATTGCTGCGATCAGTTCCTTCTTCGTAAAAGGTTTCCTCCCTAAAGGGCTCAATGCAACGATATTAGCTCTTATCCCCAAGAAAGAGGCGGCTCTTGAGATGCGAGACTATAGGCCGATTTCGTATTGTAATGTACTTTACAAGGTTATTTCAAAGATTGTGGCAAATTGCCTGAAGATCGTTTTGCCGAAATTCATCTCGCAAAACCAGTCTGCATATGTAAAAAATCGGCTTCTTATGGAAAATGTCTTATTAGCAGCAGAGCTAGTAAAACATTACCATAAGACTTCTCTATCATCCAGATATGCAATGAAGATTGATATCTCTAAAGCATTTGACTCAGTTCAATGGCCTTTTCTTATCAATGTTTTAACCGCCCTGGACTTTCCAGAAAAGTTTATTCATTGGATCCGACTATGTGTAACCACTGCGTCCTTTTCGGTTCAGGTCAATGGGGAATTGGCTGGGTTTTTTCAGAGTAAACGAGGCCTCCGGCAAGGCTGCTCGCTTTCACCATATCTTTTCGTCATCTGCATGGACGTACTCTCAAAAATGATAGATAAAGCTGCGATTGATAAACAAATTGGATATCATCCAGGATGCAAAAATCTAGGGCTGACTCACCTTTGTTTTGCAGATGATCTGATGATATTTGTGGATGGAAAAAAGCGATCTATCGAGAATACTATCAGACTTTTTGATGATTTTGAAAAACGATCTGGGCTTCAAATCAGCCTGGAAAAGTCTACCTTGTACCTTGCCGGTGTGTCTGATCAGAGCAGGGACTCTATTCTCGAAACTTTCCCGTTTGGTATGGGCCAACTCCCAATCCGGTACTTGGGGTTACCTCTCCTAACGAAGAAGATGGCAAAGATCGATTACGAGCCATTGTCGAAGAAAATTAGAGGAAAGATTAGCTCATGGATAGCTCGCTCTCTCTCATTCGCGGGGCGTCTACAGTTGATACGATCTGTTCTTATGAGTATATCTAACTTTGGATGGCAGCATATCGTCTGCCTGGAGAATGTATACAAGCGGTGGAGAAGCTTTAATGCTGCTTTTTTTATGGTCCAGAGCTAAATCCGCGAAGAGCTAAGGTTGCCTGGAAGGATGTCTGTAAGTCTAAACAAGAGGGAGGACTAGGTCTTAAGTTACTCTCGGATACAAATAAGGTATGCTGCCTGAAACTTGTATGGCGAATTCTCTCAGAAGATTCTTCTCTGTGGGTTCAGTGGATTCAAAGAACTCGCTATCGGCATGGATCTTTCTGGTTGGTAAAGGAGAATACTCAGTCGGGATCTTGGATGTGGTGAAGGCTTCTCAAATACAGAGAAATCGCAAAGTCATTCCACAGAGTCGAGGTGCATCGCGGAGATTCCACCTCCTTCTGGTGCGATGATTCGTGTGCTCCCGGGCGTCTGATTGAGTTAACTGGACCACAAGGATATATTGATCTTGGTATTCCAGCCCAAGCGACAGTTCGACAAGCCCTGGTCCGTAGGAGGAGACGCCATCGACTTGCCATCCTCAACCAGACAGAAGCTGAACTAGATGCTCTGAGATCGCGAAGGCGAGATGATACAGCTGATGTAGCACTCTGGCTCAACTCGGGTAATGTCTATAAAACAAGTTTTGTGACAAAATGGACTTGGCAACTTATCCGAGAGGTTAATCCTATTCAAGAATGGCATAGAGGTGTATGGTTCCCAAACGCTACACCTAAGTACTCTTTTTTCACCTGGCTTGCCCTGTTAAACCGGCTATCTATGGGGCATAGGATGCAGAAGTGGAATGTCAGAGCAAGAAGCGAATGTTTCCTCTGCGACAATCAGACTGAAACTCGGGATCACCTCTTTTTTTCCTGTAGTTACTCATCGGCTATTTGGAGGACTCTCACTTCTAAGCTTCTCGGTGCAAACTATACCAGCTCTTGGAATAATGTTGTTTCTCTTCTCAAAGACGCAGGACAGGGACGAGTGCAAACTTTTCTCATATGGTACGTGTGCCAATCTACTATTCACCATCTCTGGAGAGAACGAAACAGACGCAAACATGGTGAACCTGATCTTCCTCAAGAGAAGATAGTCAGAATCATTGATAAAAATGTCCGGAATCAAATCAGCTCTATACGGCTAAAAGGAGATCAAAGATACAACGAGGGGCTTACCATTTAGTTTGCCTCTAGACCAACTTAAGGATATAATAGCATACTTTTCTTTTGCTCTCAAACAGAAGTAATATTTATTGTAAAAACGTTTGTTTGGTGAATACAATTTTACATTCACTCAAAACAAACGAAAAAAAACCAGCCCATAGATTAAAATGAAAGAATTAAGAGAAAAAAAAATTGTTTGTACACTATTTTTGAATATGATTTTTGTTTTTCGTTGAGAAACGATAGTCTACATGATCATCGAACATATTTTCATGAAACATATTTTTTTATAAAAAGAAATATCTATTTTTTCTTATACATTAAACAAAAATAATCAGAACAACAACAAAACTATAAAAAGTGATGTATTCTTTTTCAAAATCCATGCTAAATTCTTCATCTATTTAAAAAAAAAAAAAAACATTCTAATTCTTCATCTATTTATGTTCTAGTTTCCATCATTTGACTATTTATGCTCTGGTTTCTAACTTTCACCTATTTTATAAAAAAAAAAATTCCAGAGATTCCCAAAACTTTAAAAGAATTTAAACGGAGTGAAAACGCGAGAAAAGACTTCATATAACTTTTTAAACAACAGTTAAAATAAGTGTAGACACAATCTGCATCATCATCTTGAAACAAGAAAATAAATTATTTTTTTAACGGGAGAGAAGCGGAATTCGCACCCTAATGGTTTATATGAGTGGTCCTAAATGATCTATCGTGTCATGATCTAGATTTAAACCTAGTAATATGTGTGTTGAGTTGTAGACCAAAACAACTAGGGCTACTACTTGTCTTCCTATTGAGTTTAGAATAGCATTATAAGATAATTGAGAAAAATATATCATTGACATAATAATGGTTTTCGAGGCAGGAGCGCAATTCTATCAGCAGTTTTCAACAGCTCTCCGCTTTGTTCCTTAAACAATACTCGATGTTTATGGACAGAGGAACATCTGATGCCGACCTGTGGACACTATCCCAAGGACCGAACGAGCCGCTTCGGGATTACATGGCAAGGTTCAAGGCAGTCGTATCCAAAATAGAAGGGATAAGCGACAAGGCTGCACTCGAGGCTCTGAAACGATCTTTGTGGTACAAGTTTGAGTTCCGACGGGAGATGGCTCTCAACACGCCGCAAACGATTCAAGACGCTTTGCACCGATCATCGGACTTCGTCGTGAACGAAGAGGAGATGAAAAACTTAGACGAGCAGTATGAACCAACGAAAGCAGCATTCCGAAGCTCAATTTTACCGCGCCCCACGAAGAAGGGCAACCCATCGAACAATACAACAACATCAAGCTCGGATGAACCTAGAAGCGGAGGAGCCCATAACTACCAGGTAGGCGTTGGACGCGGAAGAGGAGAGCCACGCAACAACACTTGGGTGAGAAAATCTGCCAACTACGACGAGAAGGCTTTTTGCGAGTATCACCAGACTTACGGGCACTCGACGGCTCAATGCCGAACTTTAGGAGCAAAGCTCGCAGCTAAGATGGCAGCAGGAGAGTTCCAAAACGCGGTCAACCTCAAAGACCTCGTCCCTAACGAACAACAAGAAAGAGCCGAGCCGAACAGCACGGCGGAACCCGCAAATCCTCCCAGACGAGGTGATAACTCCAAACGTGACAGGAGAGGCGAACCTGAAGAGCGACCCGAGCCGAGGCAAAGGATCAATATGATCATGGGCGGATCCCAGTACTACCAAGATACCGTATCCTCCATCAAAGCCTATCAGCGTCGAGCCGAGGCAAAGGAGAATTGGACGGAACCAACCGACGTCCCAAACACAGTGATCTCCTTCGCCGAGGAGGAAACAGCAGGAATTGATCGACCCCACAACGATCCGTTGGTGATCGAGTTAACAATCAGGGATCATGACGTAGCAAGGGTGCTCATCGACACTGGAAGCTCGGTAAACGTCATATTCAGAGAAACGCTCCGAAGAATGGGAATCGACCTCTCTGAGGTGGAAGCAATCCCCAAACCTCTAACCAGATTTTCAGGAGAAACGACGATGACTATGGGAACGCTCAGACTTCCCGTGGTAGCTGGCGGAGTCACTAAGATCGTCGAATTCTGCATCACAGACCACCCAGCAATCTACAATGTGATCATGGGAACTCCCTGGATCAACGGGATGCGGGCAGTACCCTCCACTTACCATCTCTGCCTCAAATTCCCAACTCCATCAGGCGTCAAAACGATCTGGGGGAATCAGAAGGAGTCACGAATGTGCTGCCTAGCCGAGCACAAACTGAGGAAACCCGTCACCGACGCACGAGCAGATATAGACCGCAAAAAGATGAAGACAGACAGAGAGTCTGCGAACGAGCTCTCCAAACTCTTATAGCAATTACAGATCACGGAGAGCCGTGAAACACGTACTGAGCAGGTGTGTGACGCAGTGGACTCGGTGTGCATAGACGAGGCGCATCCGGAGCGATGCGTCGAAATGGGAACACAACTAGGAGAGCCCCTGAGAAGCAAGCTCCTTTCCCTCCTCAAGGAGAACATCGATGCCTTTGCCTAGAGGGCGGAAGATATGCCAGGCATCAGCATTGATGTAACCTTTCACGAGCTGAATGTGGATCCGACCTTTAAGCCAGTCAAGCAGAAAAGAAGAAAACTCGGCCCCGAACGAGCTAATGCAGTCGAGAGATTACTCAAGGTAGGATCAATCGTTGAGGCCAAATATCCGGACTAGCTCGCAAATCCGGTGGTTGTAAAGAAGAAGAACGGCAAGTGGCGGGTCTGTGTGGATTTCACCGACCTCAACAAAGCGTGCCCAAAAGACAGCTTTCCCTTACCACACATCGACCGGCTCGTCGAAGCCACTGCAGGAAATAAACTGTTAACATTTATGGATGCATTCTCTGGCTACAACCAGATTCTGATGCACCCTGACGATCGGGAAAAAACAGCATTCATAACTGACAGCGGGATATACTGCTACAAAGTCATGCCGTTCGGACTCAAAAACGCAGGAGCAACATATCAACGGCTCGTCAACAAAATGTTTGCGGCTCAGCTCGGAAAAACCATGGAGGTATACATCGACGACATGTTAGTCAAGTCACTCGGGAGGAAGACCACGTCGCGCACCTACAAGAATGTTTCGAACAGCCGAACAAGCACAACATGAAACTAAATCCGACGAAGTGCAGGTTCGCGGTCACCTCGGGAGAATTCCTCGGCTATCTGGTAACCCACCGGGGCATAGAAGCAAACCCCAAGCAGATTAAGGCGCTAATTGAGATGCCCTCTCCAAGTACGAAGCGCGAAGTGCAAAGGCTAACAGGAAGAGTCGCCGCGCTAAACAGGTTTATTTCCCGTTCCACAGACAAATGCCTGCGGCTTTCCAGGAATTGAAGACTTCTCTGGCAAGCCCACCAATCTTAGCAAAACCGGTCGAAGGAGAGCCGCTCTTCCTCTACATCGCGGTGTCTGCTACAGCTGTAAGTGGGGTACTAATCAGAGAAGAACAATCCAAGCAAAAACCCATTTTCTACATCAGCCAGACGCTGACCGACGCCGAGACCCGCTACCCCCAGATCGAGAAGGTCGCCCCAGCCGTCGTAGTCTCGGCTCGCAAGCTGCGCCCATACTTTCAATCGCATTCGATTGTTGTGCTCGCCACACTTCCGCTGCGCTCAATCCTGCACAGCCCAAGCCAATCCGGTCGGCTGATTTTCTGAGCAAATACGACATCGAGTATCGAAATAGGTCGTCTGCAAAATCACAAGTGATCGCTGATTTTCTCATTGAACTCCCGGCCGAAGCAACAAACGAGCCAACTCTAGACGAAGTATGGACGCTGCACGTCGACGGCTCGTCATCTAGTCACGGCTCGGGGATAGGAATCCGCCTCACCTCTCCCACCGGAGAAATATTAGAGCAGTCTTTTCGCCTGAACTTCCACGCCTCGAATAACGAAGCAGAATACGAAGTACTGATCGCCGGCATACGACTAGCGCAGGGAATCGGGGTTCGAAAGATAAGAACTTTTTGTGATTCACAGCTCGTAGCATGCCAGTTTAACGGAGAATATGAGGCAAAGGATGGACGAATGGGAGCTTACCTCAAGGTGGTTCGAGAGTTGGTGCAAAAATTCGACGAGTTCGAACTCACGCGAATTCCCCGAGGAGAAAACACCTCGGCTGACGCTTTGGCAGCACTCGCTTCGACCTTAGACCCAGATCTCCGACGGACGATCCCAGTCGAATTCATCGAACATCCTAGCATCGAAGAAGTGGAAAGAGTTCGGCTGATAAATCCTGAACAAGAACCAGAGGACAAAGAAGCCATTCCAATGGATGAAGACGCCTCACCGGCCGAGCCGGAGTACGGCTGCGACAAAGAATGTACATCGCCGATGGAGAGGTGCCAACTAACAAATGGGAAGCCCGCAAACTAAAAGCTCAGGCAGCACGGTATGTCCTCGTCGATGGCGAGGTGTTTAAATGGAGATTTTCAGGGCCTCTCATGACGTGCGTCGAAGGACCGGAGGCAAGAAAGATCATGCACGAGGTGCACAGCGGCGCGTGCGGGAACCACTCCAGCAGAAGGTCTCTCGCTATCAAGATAAAACGGCACGGCTATTTCTGGCCCACGTTGGTCAAGGACTGTGAGAAATTTACGGCAAAGTGCGAGAAATGTCAGCGGCACGCTCCAACAATTCATCAACCTACCGAGTTGCTCTCGTCAATTTCGTCACCTTATCCGTTCATGAGATGGTCGATGGACATCGTCGGACCTCTACATCGCTCGAAGCAGAAGCGTTTTCTGCTCGTCCTCACGGATTACTTCTCCAAGTGGGTCGAGGCCGACTTTTACGCAAGCATAAAGGATGTTCAAGTCGAACACTTCGTCTGGAAAAATATCATCTGTCGCCACGGGGTCCCTTACGAGATAGTCACCGACACGCTTCGAAACCTTCTGCAAAAAGTGGAAAATCCGCCTCAGCAAATCTACGCCAAGATACCCTCAAGGGAACGGACAAGCCAAAGCAGCCAATAAGACGATCCTCGACGGTCTGAAAAAGAGGCTCGACGCCAAGAAGGGACGGTGCGCAGACGAACTCGAAGGAGTCCTTTGGTCTTATCGGACAACTCCGCGCCAAGCCACCGGGGAAACTCCATTCGCTTTGGTCTACAGATCGGAGTGCGTAATTCCCCCCGAAGTGGATTTCCCAGGTATCCGACGAAGACTTCTACCAGGACAGGAGGGCTTGAACCACTTAATGATGCTAGATGAGCTCGACCTAATCAACGAGAAGCGCGATCAAGCCTTAATTCGAATCTAGAACTATCAACAAGCGACGGCGAGATACTATAACAAAAACGTTCGAAGTGGAAGATTCAAAACAGGGGAGCTCGTCCTCCGAAAGGTCTTCCAAAACACTGCCGAGAAGAACGCAGGAAAGCTCGGAGCAAATTGGGAAGGTCCTTACAAGGTCACAAAAGTGGTTCGTCCAGGAGTCTACGAACTCGCGACACTAGCTGACGAGGCGATTCCAAGATCGTGGAACGCAATGCATCTGACGAAATACTATCACTAAGGATGCAACACGATCAGCATGAACTACAGGACGGCTTGATCCCTGCAAAGGGTACGTAGGCAGCCCGTCCTCTGACGGTTTCAGCTGTCCCCCCTCTTAAAAAGGGGGGGGGAGTGGATACGTATACACATACCTCTTTTAACCCTACAATTTTTAGCTGTTTTAGCTCGCTACTTAGGAACATCGCCACTTCGGCACATTCTCAGCTCATTTCGATTCTCAGCACATTCTCAGACATGATTACCTCGGACCTTTGTTGGTCCTCAGTTCAGTTCGGCAAACTAAGCCTCCGAACGCATCGTCTCGTTGCTGGCCACAACGGGGCAACAAATACAAAGTTCTCTAAACGTACTTTCACCACCTTTCCTAGGACGAGGGTGCAAGTTACATCCTCTATGGATAACAATGAAGCGCGCTATACAAATATCAGACCGAAAACGTATCAGGTCGCCACGGTTTACTATCGCACACGAGAATATAAGTCGAGACTACATCGCTTTCTCTAAAACTGAAGTAAACTCTTAAAACCCGGATAAACATACTCATCCTCTCGGAAATACCGGTCCATTAGTCAGGATCGATAACACTTCATCCTTGGCTAACCTATACGAAAACGCCTCGTCGTTTACACGGCTCGGGACCACGCAAAGAGAAAACGCCTCGTCGTTTACACGGCTCGGCACCACGCACGGCGAAAACGCCTCATCGTTAAAAATGGCTCGGCGTTGCTACGAAAATTTGCTGCAACATTATCACTTAAAATCTTTCCAGCATCACCTAAAGGATGTTCCACAAAACTAACTCCCAGCTCGGGATTAAGAATACAAACGAGACCCTTAAACAACTCAACCCTTAAACAACTCAACCCTTAGCCCGTCTTTCTATCGATTTCGAAGAATTCGGTTAAGGAAGCAATCAAAATCATTCTCGACAATCTTCTCTAAGCCATTGGTTTTCACAGATATTTGCACAAGTCATTAAAAAAAAGTGCATCCAAACGAAAAACAGCTAAAGGAGAAAATATATCCATAAGCAAAAATGAATGTCGGGTGGATAAAGCCGTCCAGGCATTGGTTGCAAAAAGAGTTCAAAAACGTACAAAAAACCTAAGTTCAAAAGCATGAAAGACGAAACAGGGAAAAGCAGAGGGTATCAGGCCGCGGACTGCGTCTCACGTACGGCGAGGAGGTTCGAGAGGACTGGCGTGCCTGCGTTTGATCCGTTCGGATCTACCACTCCTAAGTTGGCCGCTGTCTCTTCGAGCGGCTCGTTGCCGAGGGTGGTGTCGACCGAGTCCGGCGATACGGGAGAGTAATACAGCTCGCCCCGAATCTCGGAAGCAATACGCTCGTACGCCTCGTCGTCGGCATACTCACTCTCCCAGCTTTTCAGCTTCGCCTCCTCGTCGTCAAGCGTCGGGGCGTCCGGCTTCTTCAGGTCGGCAATCATCGCAAGATTGCCCTTGATCTGTCCCAGATCGTTCTCATCATTTTTGGCCTTCTCGAGCTTGACCAAACCCTCCTCCACCTTGGCGAGGCGTTCCTGAAACTTCGCCGTCAGCTCGCGCCTCGCCTCCTTCTTCGCGCATTCGACCTTGGCTTCGAACAGCGCCACCTCGGCGCTTTTGGCTCTCCTTGCTTCCTCCAGGCGAATCACCGAGGCGGAAACTTTGTTGACGTCTGCTCGAAGAACTATCTTCTCCTCTTCCAACCTCGACACTCGGGTCATCGCCTCGGTGAGTTTCCCCTTCGCTGCCGCGGCTTTCGTTTTGCGCCTCTTCCAGCTTCACCTTTGATGCCACGGTCTCATTTCGGGCCTCGTCCAAGCGACGTTCGACCTTAGACAGGTCTCCCTCATACTCGGCCATCAGGTCGTTAATGGCCGCGACAAACTGCAAAGAACAAACTCGCGTTAAACACTTAGCAAAAGTTTACGAAAATAAAGGACAGCGAATAAAAACGTACCTTGGTACCACGCTGCGCCATCGCGCCATATGACCTCGGCCTCCTCAGCTTCTCCGGAGGAGGAAGACGCGTGTTCGCGTTATTTATACGCGAAAACATGACGGCAGAAGCGTCGGGGTCGTCAACAACCAATTTACGCGCGGCGGGGTCCCTGGGCGTCGGTTTTTGCCTCTTCTTGGACGGCTCGTCCTTTTGGACGGCGACGCCTTTCCCCTTGTCAGTAGCCGAACGTTTTCGGCTAGAGTCATGCTTCTGGACGACCGAAGTCGGTGGCCTCGTCGACTTCGGGAGGGCCAGGATGGTGGATTGCGAAGGAGTCTTACTCCGCGCCGCCGAGCCGTCCCCGGACACCTCGGGGATAATTTCGCCCGGTTCCACCTCGGGCACTACGTCTTTCTCAGCCGCCTCGGCAGTGTCGCCTTCTGCGGCTCGGATCATCACATCCCCTTCCCGGCTCGAAGGGTCGGGTTGAAGGACGGCCTCGGTTTGCGCTGAGACCGCCTCGGCTTGCGCCGGAACCGCCTCGGTTTGCGCGCGAGCTGCCTCGGCAGCTCGTCTAGCGGCTTCCTCTTCCTCGCGCCGCTTCCTTTCTCTAAGGGCGATCACCACCATCTTCTCCCGGGTATCTCTCGAAGAACTTGAGGACGAAGAACTGAAGGGGACCGGCAAGGATGGCTCGCGCTTTTTCTACTCTTTCGAGGGTGAAGTTTTTTCTCCAATTAACCTTCCGCGCCGAAAGAGAGTCTCGAACAGTAAAGAGGTCGTCGGGATCGAGGGAAGATAGCACCGAACTGCAAAACAAAGCAAAAAAGCAAAAGTTTCAGAAAAGGAAGAGAATATCAACTGAATCTCCGAGCCGAGGCAAACCTTCGGGTCGGCTACCAAGTGGTCCCCAAGTAGTCTTGGTTCGGTGAACGTAATCTTCGCCGACCGACGCCTCGTTCACCAAGACGTAGAAGAAGCGTTCAGTCCAAAACTGATCCTTGCTGGGAAAACAGCCAATAATCCGTCGCTTCGCCTTGTTGGAAATATATAACCTATTTCCTTTCGGAGCTTTCCTGATTTCCAGCAAGTTCAGCAGGTGATTCAGCTCGATGTCGAGACCGCATTCAAAGCTTCGGACTAAAATGCTGATCATATGCCGTAATCCCCTCGGCATAATCTGCCCAATCGAGATCCCGTGTTTCCAAAGGTATTCGAGGATCACTCCGGGGATCGGGAACCAGAGAAAGCAAAGCTCGAAGAACGCCTCATACAGAGTGAAGTGATTCTCAGGAGGCTTGTCGGCTCGGTCGCTCTTCTAGGGAACGACAAACTCCACCGCCTCGGATATCCCGAAGCGATGCCTCAACGCCTCAAGCGACTCAAGGGAAGAAAGCGTAGAGCCAGGCGGATCAGGCTTTTGTCTTTTAACTCGTGGCCCTCGCCCAGATGTGGAAGCGCCTCGGGACGCCATGAGACGTTCCAACTCGTACTTCGCCTCGAGTAGGTCAAAGGGAAATGCTTCCTCGTCGGCTTTTTGGCGCGATTAACACCTTCATCAGGAACCGAGTCCTGGGGACGGCTCGTCGAAGCCAACGGCTCGTCATCTGCAGAACCCTCGTTTGATGGATTCGCGTCATTCGACGCCTCGTCAGATTAACGATTGGAAGGGTTCGGCGAAACAGATGCCTCGGAGGATTCTGTTGAACTTCTCGCCTCGGCATCTACGCGGCTCGGCTCGTAATGAAAAAGCGAGTCCAACGAATCGTCGGAGCGGCTCGACATGATTTACAAGTTATACAAGAATTACAGAAGGACTCGGCGAACCTCTGCCGGAAAAAGATCTGGGACGGCGGAGACCTCGGAAACCCTAGCCGGAAAATAAATAAACTAGAGAGAGAAAGAAGAGAGAAGGGAGAGCTACCTTTAGTGAAAACGAGTGAGTCTGGAGATAATGAGGAAGAGTGAAGGAGCTCACCTATTTATAGAAAAAACAAAGCGCGTGAATTCCGCGTAAACCTCGGGAAGCCGTCCAACAGCGCGTGGGATCCGCGGTGAACTGGCTATACCGGACTGCGTCGTTGGCACGCGCCGAAAGATCAGGAATTTCCTCTCGAAAGACCAACAGTCAGGGTACCCAGGTTAACGAAACGGCTTGGTATTGACTCTTTCCCTCTTGAAACGCCTCGTCGTTAACGAAACGGCTCGGCATTGAATCTGTTCTCCTGAAACGCCTCGTCGTTAACGAAACGGCTCGGTATTGACTCTTTCTCTCTTGAATCGCCTCGTCATTAACGAAACGGCTCGGTATTGAATCTGTTCTCCTGAAACGCCTCGTTGTTAACGAAACGGCTCGGTATTGACTCTTTCTCTCTTGAATCGCTTCGTCGTTAACGAAACAGCTCGGTATTGAATCTGTTCTCTTGAAACGCCTCGTCGTTAACGAAACGGCTCGGCGTTGAATCTGTTTCTTGAAACGCCTCGTTGTTAACGAAACGGCTCGGCATTGACATTCTTTCTTGAGACGTCTTGCCGCTAACAAAACAGCTCGGCACGAGCTTTCTCTCGAAACGCCTTGCCATTTGTTCGGCTCGGCATAACCTCCTCAAATCACCTCGTCATGGGCTATCACTATTAAAAAAAAATTGCCTCGTCCTTAATCTTGCCTCGGCATCTTCGGTACCATCTCGAACACCTCGGCATCCTCGACGCCTCGGCGCCTTCATTCCCAGAACGCCTCGGCGTCTTCATTCCCAAAACGCCTCGACGTCTAACTCAGTGGTTTATCCTACGGTCGGAAATAATGGACCTCGTCACTCTCGCCTCCGAAACTGACGAGCTGGGGGGCTAACTGTTGGGGTCGGTTTTCACCCCAAGTAGATAAACCACCTCAGAATGGCTAAGTATGGAAGAAAGATAAGTGGGAGAGCCGTGGTCGCCAAGTGGGAGAGCCGTTCTCACCATGACAAGTGGAGATCCGTTCTCACCAAGACAAATGGGAGAGCCGTGCAGATAGGCCAGTAGGGAGAGCCGTGAAAGAAGACAGGTGGACCGAGCCGCATCGGAAGAAATGGGCCGAGCCCCACTTCAACACGTTTGGGCCGAGCCGTGTATCGGTGCGGTGGGCTAGATCATGTCTCCATGGCAAGTGGGCCGAGCCGTGAAGAAGGCTAGATGGGCCGAGCCGTAAAGAAGCTTGGACGGGCCGAACCAAAGCCTTGAGAGATGAAGCCCATGGAAAACCCTAGGCGAGATGCAAAGGCGGTCAGCCGCACGAGGCGATATGGAAATATTCCGAAAATCTCGCCCGAGATTTTCGGCTAGGCGGTTTAGAAAGTTAGTATAAATATATGATGTATGCAATTCCTTCCGCCAACTTTGGCAACCCTAAGCAATAAAGACTAAACACTTTACAGCAAAAAAAACTTTTTTTCGATCTTACTGTTTTGGCGATAAACCCTAGAAGTTTCCGATCCCTTAATTTTTCCTTAGACAAATTTCTGGTTGTGCGAGTTTTGGCTCCCACAATGAGTGCAAAGTTGAATACTGAAGAGTAACATGCTCAATCATATATATCACCCCAGAAAAAAAATAGTCAGTCCAATATAGATATATAACCTTTGATATAGTAGTATTTAATGTTATGAAATGAATAACTGCAAAATATAAAATAATGCATTGATTAATTTGGTAGATCTTATAATAATTATAATGAGAAAATTAAGAACTGATATATGTTTTGTTCATGTAAATATATAAAATTTCTATATAAATTAAGTTGACAAAAATAGAATGATAAACAACTGTTTTTTTTTCTTCTGTTTTCTTCTCGTTTGAAACACTATGAAACAAATATAGTTTGGTATTGTTTTCTTTTATTCTCTATAATAATATAAAAACGTGGAAAATGCTACCTTTCGTTGTTAGGTGTAATCAACCTGGCCCCATATTTTGGTTCGTTGTGATGAGTGAAGAATATTTTTCACGGATCCGACAAGCACGTTAATAACGCGGCAGACTGATTACGGAACTCCTCGAAAATTTATTCTTCTGAATCATTTACCTTTACAAGTTCACAATACGACAAAGAACAATTCATTCGCATCACATATGAGTTTTTTCTCCTCAGTATTGTTTTAAAATCTTTTGTATATTATTATATTGCGTAATTTCTCGTGCAAATGAATTATGAGATCCGATAGACAGCCATGTGAAGATCTGAGCTTGCAGACCAAACTTAAGGATTCATCACTCTAAGTCTCTAATGCTAATGCTTTACTTCATAATAAAAAACCTAACACAAGGTACATAATGCTTAAAGTTCTACAAGAACATTTTTTCTGGTTTATTAGAAATAACTTTAAGTTGTTCTTATAACTTGCTTAATAAGAATTACAATATCACATGATACCACAACGTGATTCGCTACTGAAAAATTCATAACCTAACCAAACTTACTTATTTAACAAGAGTTGTACTGCACTCATTTAATTTGTTGACTCACTAAGAACCTTATAAGAGAACTCTATAACAATTTGTTTTCACAATGTTTACTCAAAATAGCTAACCCTAATGCTTAGGTCTTGCAAGTCTTATATACTATCAAATTCCTCAAGTTGAGAATCTTCGATTTCATCTAAACAACATCTTCAAGTGCTAGGTTTTGTCTGCAGCTCCAATCGAATCTCACCACATCAGCTTCCTTGCTTAATTCTTTCCGCCTCAAGTTCACTTTGTGGTGCACAACCACTCCATGTTCAGCTATCAACCATCTTCTGCATTGAACATTACATTTCTTCTGATATTCAGTCTCTAAACTTTGGACACATAATTTTATATTTTGATAAAGATTTTACTTTCATCTTCTAGATGAGTTTTCTAGGAACCAAAATTTATTTTTTGATTTTTATTTGATCCTAGACAACTTATACAAGACTTATGCCTATAAACACTTGTTTTAAGCTTATTTTTGGATACAAACAACTATCACCAACGACACAACAGCCACCATACGGTCCATACATATATTTTCGTAACAGCTTTATTGTTTTGGTTTGAAAAACTTAAGGAGAAAACCCTGCCTCTGATTCGATATACAGAAGATTTCTAAACTATTTTATTCTCTTACTATTTTTCATATCTTTGCTTGATTTTGTGCATGGTGTCTGAGTAATCTCCTTGTTTGGTTAGAATATTTTCAAAGAAGATTCATAGATTGCTTGTTAGAATGTTGTTAAATTATTGGGATTATCTTTAGAATTTTTTCATCTGAATTTGTGTTTATAGTTTATTTCTTGATTGACCATCTAGATAATGTTTACTCGTTAGAAGTTCTGTTAAATTACATGAACTAACTTGGATGAACAAAGCATCATAATCTGAGAAAGATTAGTTATAGATCTTTTATGAACGTACTAAACTTAAACTGTTTCGGCATTGCTTAAACGCCTAATTTCCGATGGAGTTAGAGTAATTTTGGGTTTTTAGACCATCTCCAACGCGGATTTACATGAGTATCACAAGTGGGCTCGTATTTTTTTTTAGATTTTAAAAATTAAAATAAACCCCCAACTTCAGTCATCCATATCAGTAGAGTGAGTCTCATGAATCCATATGACTCGAATATAACTGGATAGATGGCATTTTTTTATTGGCTGATGGGTGAAGGAGAAAAAATTAGTTGAGTATTATTTTATTCTGATGATACTCAAAAACAGATTTAGGGTTGGAGGTTAAAACAGGGTTGGGGTTGACTACTGTTCAAAAAAAAATAATAAAAAATGTCAATTGGCAATATGGAAGTAGGTCAATTGCCTATTTGTAATTCGAGTTCTAGAATATTTATTGTTTTTTTCAGACTAATCTATCTAAGAGTACAAAAATTTATTGGATTCGTTGTGTTATTGAATGTTGCTTAACTAAAAATCGTGTGACTGAATCCTAAAATTCTGTTTGTCTCAAACACACTACAATATATGCAATTAAAGAGTTAAAGAAAAAAAAATGTTTCGTCTCTACAGAAACTTTTGTTCGTTATTCTTATTTTAGTATCGATTGTTATTCTTAATTATATCTTATATCAATATATTTTCCAATTATTCAGTTTTATTATATCCTTAAAACAGATTATTTCAATGAGTGTTATAAATCATCAGCAAGAATTTATCTTAATTTCTACGAAAAATTACACAATTTATGTGAAAGTTTGTGGTTTTGTTATTTTGGTTGTTTGTATACGATAGTGTATCCGTAAGATAAGAGAAGTTATCATATGCGAAGGGAATGAATGCGTTTGTCTTTGTCTTGGAGAATTGTTTTTTGTAGTATTGTGAACATGCGATGTGATGGCAATAGAGAAAAATGATCCGATCGAATAAAATTTGAGAGAAAACAAAACAAAATAAGAATTCAATATGCATGTGGAGGAGTAGCTTCGTAAACTGATACCTCATACCTACAAACAAACCATATTTGTTTTGTAATCAGTCCGCCGAGTTAATCACGTGCTCTTAAGGATCCTTCAAAATATTCTTTACTCATCACAACGAAACAAAAAATGGGGCCAGGTTACAACTACAACTAAAGGTGACATTTTCAGTGGAAATACACCACGTTTTATTTCATATTATAGAGAATAAAACAAAGCAATACCAAAATACATTTGTTTCATAGTACTTTAAACAAAAGTTATTTTATATCATTCTATTTTTGTCGACATCATTTACTTAATTGGACATATTAGTTTTCTCTAATTGCACTAGTATCATATATGTATAAAATGCGTGGACGTAAAAAAAAATTTACATGATTTGAGTGAGCATGTTACTCGTCACTCATCACAATTCACAACGGACCAGAAAATCCCACGTTAACTTCTCGTATTTTGTTTGTTTAGGTTCCTGGTTTTCTATTCTTTTTGGCAAGATTGTACCTATTTTTTGTAATATTTTACAAACCTTCTCATTTCTTAATAAATACAAATTCTTAGCAAAAAAAAAACATCATACGCTTCTCCAACTACGTGATATAGTTACATCATGGAGTCGAAAAATTATAGTTACATCATGTAACTTACATGATATAGACGATACATCATGCATGGTATGGAGTTATTAAAAAATAATAGTTACATCATGTAACCGATATGATTGAGCATGTTACTCTTCACTCATCACAACGGACCAGAAATTTCCACGTCAACTTTATACGCCACCGCTACTCCTATTGAAATCTCAAATCTCAAACTCTATTAATAGTTACGCTGGATAGATCAAATCTCCATGTCTAACACAGTTACACTCATATCACGTAAGTTACTATCACTCATAATTGGTGCACGAACTATGGCTCGCTGTGACGTTCTCGTCCTCTCTCTCCTGATCTTCATCGCCACCGTCTCTGTCGTTGCATTCGCCGTAAGCGCTTCCCAAACCTCATCTTCATATATCCCTAGGTTATGATTCTTTAATTTGCACAACGACACTAGTTTAAGCTATTAGGCTATGAACTTCAGTTCCTTTCAGTTAATATTCATTTGAGCTTCGCAGGACCGTGAACCAGGCTGTGTCTACACATTCTACGTCCAAACCGGATTCGTGGAAAGTGCCGGCACAGATTCGATCATAAGCGCTACAATCTCCGACAAATCCGGACAAGAGATCGTAATCAACAACCTAGAGTCATGGGGTGGGTTAATGGGATCAGGTTACGACTACTTCGAGAACGGTAACGTGGACATTTTCAGTGGTAAGGAGAAGTGTCTTCCGAGCCCAGTATGCGCATTGAATCTGACCTCTGACGGCAGTCACGGCACCGGCACATACGCAGCTTGGTTTGTAAACTATGTGGAGGTTACAACGGTCGGATTGCATGCTAACAGTGCGCGTCAATACTTTGATTTTGAGAAATGGCTTGGGCTGCCTGCGTCGCTAACTGCCGTACGGAACAAATGCCCGGTTTCGCTAAAGGAGAGTGTCAGTCAGGTCGGGTCTGAGATCCCGAAAACTCTCTCGTAGTCGTAGACAATCAAATCAATGAATGTATGTGTCTTGGAGACTTGTCGTTTTTCGTATTGTGAATGTACGTCTAGTAAAACTTGTGAACCTGTAAAGGAAATAACGTAAACGATTCGATCGAATAACCATTATATATAGCTACTTGTATCTCTTCTCTTAGAAGAGAAACTATTATCATACATTTCCGAAAAAATCATCGATAAAAGAGTTTCAAAGAGGAAGAAGAATTTGACTTATTGTCCATCAAAAGAAATCATAGTGTTTTGGATGTCAAAAGGGTTGGAAGAAATCAATCGGTGAACGGAATCCATACTAAATCTCAAGCATGGATAAAAGTTAGTTTTTCTTCATCTACAAAAAATTGTTGTGGTTAAATTAAATAAAAATCTAGATGATCTTGAGAAGTAGATTTCATTATTGAAATCATAAAAATAATTTACAACATAATGCCAATTTATTTTAAAAGATATATAAAACTAGATAAGTACTTACATATATGCAGGTTTATAATTTCATATCTTATAACCTATGAAACGTTAAAAAAAACAGAAAACAAAATGACATCGCCCATAAAAATATATTATATCAGTTTAAAAATAAAATTATCAACAATTATATAATATATATATACACAAAATAATAGGAATACAATAATTAAAGCAAAACTATTCTAACAAGACTACACTAACATAACAATAACTATTTTATGAATTAACATAATTTCTCGGGTCTAAATAAGTATCCACATATATGCAGGTTTATAATTTAATATATTTTATAACCCCTGAAAATAAAAATAAAAACAAAAATATACAAAATGAGATCCAATTATAAAGTTTTTTTTAATAACTTTGAATCATTCTCGTTTATATAAATAGGAACCAATTATAAAGTTTTTTTAATAAGATTTGTTAAAAATATAATTAAAAATTTATTAAACATGTGTCAAAATCTTATCGATTTACTTGACATGTGTCACGATCTGGCGAGTTACTAATTTTAAATCATTCTCTTTTATATAATAAGATAATGATAGTGTTATAAAGGTTGAGATAATAAGGGTGATTATAAGGATTATTATTTTGATTTGCGAATATCCTTAAATGCGGATCCATACCTGGACCAATGAAGAGACTAACCAAATTTGGAAATACATCATTTGTAATTTCATCAATTATTCAATTTATTTATAAAATTAACATTTTTGTAAGGTTTTATAACCACAAGTGTTTGGATATGGATTTTTTGATGTTTGAGAAACTTAAAAGATACAAGAAACTTTGATCACCAAATTTCTATTTAAAACTAGGGAGCAAGAAGATGAAAAAGTAAACTAATAAGTAATGAACAGAAATGAGTATGTTTAATTTACATTAATGAGCTTATTTTTATCTTCGTGTGATGAGATTTATTGGGTTAACATTTTCTAGTGTTTGGTTTATTTATTAGATTACATTTGATTTTAACTTAGACATAATTTTTTAAAATTTCTTTTGTAGTGTTTATATTCCACAAGAATCTCCTCCTGGTCCACCAAACGTGAACAAAATTTTTTCCCCCGTTTTAGTCCATAACATTTTTCACTATTTAATAACTTCTTCAACTTAGATGATTTATCAACTTTTTTCATTTCTTTTGCAATGGGATGATCTAGATAGAGAATTGTATAAAATCGCGCAAACTCCATGTCGTTTTGAGTTGGTAGATGACCATTACCCATTGGTGGACTTCTGCCAGACGGAGAAGACTCGACTGCTGCTCCGACTATCATTATATCCACTCTATTATTGATGAGTGGAGATTTTGACTCTTCTAACCTGTGTTTACTAATTGTTTTAGGAGTTTTTGGAGTCTTTTCAGGAGGTTTCAGGTGACTTAGAGACCTTATTAGAGGATTGGAGTGTTTAGGAGGCATTGGAGCAAAAGGAGATGAATTTGAGCAATAAGGAGCTATTTCACACGTTTTTGGAGAAATCATCCGCGGAGCACCTGCTCCCGGTTTGGACCCTTCGTGGAGCACCTGCTCCGGACGGGAGAAAAATAAGGAAAACGATTTTACCTAATCCTAAGTCGCGTGAGATGGAATAAAAAGCCCAGAGCCGCCTGTGTTTTGATTATCACGTTTTTCTACAGACTTTCTACGCTTTCTTTTTACAAGTTCCTGAACCATAGAGTTTTTACTTGTAAGCTTTTGGGAGAAGAAATCTGCTACACTTGAGAAGAATTCTGAACCCTATTATCTCTTCTGCGAATTTTTTAATCCATGAATTCCTTTTCATCTGTTGCTGTGTTTCTTTTCCCCATGTCTGAGTAGATCTCTTAGCTAGATTAAAGCGTTCAAAGGATTTCATGAGTTAGAGGATTAGATGCAAATAGGGCTTGATATCTATTGTCTTCACCATTGTTAGACTTAATGCTTAGGTTGAATTGATCACTCAATCTGCGATTTTAGGTTAATCTGTTCATCAAAAGTGTAATAGGTTGCTAGAATAAACATTGGTGAGCGATTTGTCCTTAGCCAACGACAGTTGAAGTTAAGGCAAATCGTGAACAGATCAAACCTGCTAGCTAATGCTTGTCTGCAATTTTCTAGGTTCAAACGACAGTTTAGGATTTAGGTTGTTAGACAAAGTTATCGAGATCACGACAGTGGATCGATAAGCTTTTCTGTTTGAGTTCGAGACTTGCGTTACACTTGTGCCCTGAATAGTCATCTGGTTCTTATCTCTGAAATTCCTGCGAATTGCTTTGGTCTAGTGCTTGTTTTAATTCGAATTTAAATCGTTGTTTGCCATTCTGTTTACTTTTTAGTTTTCGTAACAAACCATCTTTCGTCTTAGCTTTAATTCAATCCTCGCAAAGTCATAGAGTAACACTGGTCCTCTGGATTTCGAATCCTTTATATTACAACTACATCACTGTTCTATTGCAGTAGGAACTAGGAGTATATCCAGTCTGAATCAAATTTTGGCGCCGTTGCGACGGGGACCAATTCGTTACCTTTGATTTTTGGTTTGAAATTCAGACTAAGGCTTTACTAATTTTTCTCTCTTGTTCTCTTGTTTGCGTGTGTTTCAGGTGTATGTCAAACATATCCACAAGGAGCAACTGCACCGATCTTGTTTCTTTGTCGTACACCGAGCTAGCAAGAGTCGAGCGAGAAAACAGACGTCAAAGGCCTATTCAAGCCAACATGGGCGATCAAGGCAACAATGACAACATGGCTGTCGAGCTACAACAGCTTCGACAACAATTAGAGCAGCTGCAAAAGGTGCAGCAAGACAGGGAGCAGCCACAACCTGCTATTGGAGACAAGGACAGTCCGCATGCTTACTATCACAACAGGGCTGCGATTGCTCCTCCAACCATTCAGAGGCAAGACTTTGAGATCAAACCTCAGCTGATCTCATTGGTGAAGCAGCACCTCTTTCATGGGCTTCCTGCTGAGATTCCGATGGACCACATCGAGAATTTTGAGGAGATTTGCAGCACGACTGGATCAAATGGGATACCAGCTGATTTCTTGAAGTGCAAGCTTTTTCCATTCTCACTTGCGGACAAAGCTTTGCGCTGGCTGAAGTCATTACCACCTGGGTCATTGACTACATGGGAAGAGTGCAGATCAGCATTTTTGGACCATTTCTACACTAAGGCCAAAACTGCAGCTCTGAAGAACAAGATCTCGTCGTTTAAACAGCAACCTGGTGAAGCTTTCTGCGAAGCTTGGGAGAGGTACAAGGAGTACCGAAGAGAGTACCCTCACCATGGGTTCTCTGATGAGCAGATTCTGTCAACCTTTTATGATGGTGTCAACTGGGATTACAGGAATGCTTTGAATGCAGCTAGCAATGGCGATTTCATGACTAAGTCCAAAGAAGCTGCTTATGAGTTGATTGAGAACTTAGCTACAAGCTCCAGCAACAAATCCCAAGAGTATGATAGGTCTAGCAAATCAGTTCTTAGTGTGGAGTTGAGCAAAATCGATGAGCTTACAGCAAAGGTGAATCTGCTGTTGAGAGAGAACCAGAGATCTGTGCATTTTGCTGATGAGGTTGGTGATGCACCTCTTGCTCAAGAGTTTGTAGATGCAGAGAATAATGATCAGATGGAGGTAAATTTCGTGAATGGACAAGGGTATGTGCAGAATCGCAGTTTCAACAACTTCAGAAGCCACCCGAATTTATCCTATAGAAGCAACAATGTTGAAAACCCTCAGGATCAGGTCTATCCGCAGCAAGGAGTGCAGAATCAGTCAGGATTTCAGAAGAACTTCTCCAGCAACTTCCAAGGAAAGCAGTTCATCACCAATCAGAATCGATTTCAAGGTGGAAATCAGCAGAAGTTGCCTTTCACAAGTCTACAGCCTTCTTCGAGTTCCTCAAATAACTCGCAGGATGAGCTGAAAAACTTGATGCAACAGCTGCTGGTTAATCAACAAAAGTCTTCCATGGAGATTAATGCCAAAGTGGACACCATGTACAATGATTTGAATGGCAAGTATGAGGCTGTGTGGACTCATGTGAAGAAGCTGGATGTTCAGGTAGCTCAGACTGCAGAAGCTGTGAAGAGATCACCTGGAACTCTCCCTGGAAAAGGTGAAAACCCCAGGAATGAGTTTGTGAATGCTATTGAGCTTAGAAGTGGGAAGACTCTACATGCTGCACCAACAAGCTCTGTCTCAGAAAAGAGGAAGGAAAAGGACGTGGAGCACCTGCTCCAAGAAGAGGAACCAGCTCATGACGTAAAAAAGACGAAGGAGCACTCTTCCTCCATCGGAGCACCTGCTCCAAAATCTGGAGCACCTGCTCCAGACGTAGATTTGACGATGGAGCACCCTGAGCCAACGAGGGAGCACCTGCTCCAGCCACCTGCTCCAGCAAACATTCCTGCAAGAGTTTACACGCCTAAGGTACCTTACCCAGTTCCACCAAAGAAGTCTCGCAAGGACTTAGAGGATGCAAAGTGCAGGGAGATGCTGAAGGATTTGACTGTAAAACTCCCTCTAGCTGATGCTGTTCAGATGATGCCAGCCCTTAAAAGATACATGAAGGGGTTAGTGTCTGGGAAAGCTGTTGAGGAAGAGAGTGTCATGATGGTTTCGAAGGAGTGTAGTGCTGTGCTTCAGAACAAAGTGCTGAAGAAGAGAAGTGATCCAGGAAGGTTTGTTCTCTCAGTCA